GAGGAACATCTATGGAATTTAAATTTAACAAATCTAGAAATCCAATAAATTCGGATCCAAGAAATTCAATGATAAACAAAAAACTAAAGTGAAATTTCTTCCAAGTGTCAGGGTGACTAAGCACGCAGTCATTCTATGAAACCATATCATATTTGGATATGATAAAATAAGATGAATAGACAAGGTGTTTCGTAGATATTGAAAACTGTAGATAATAATAAAACCATATACCTAAAATGGAGAGCAATTGAGAGCACTATTCCTTGGTTGTCAAAGTCCAAGACTTACAAATTATTGCATATTTTGACAAAGTCACTAATGACCCATGTAACAAGCTACATCAGGTAAAAATGTAGTGCAAAATGTTCATAAGAATCAGAAATTGAAAAACATGTTCCACCAAGTATTTAAATTTGTCTATATAATCATTATTGTACCATATGTAAATATATCCATGAGAAGCAAGTATGTGATTATCAAATTTTTACGTCGCTTGGTGATGTGTGTGAGTCGTTTTTATAAGTTTGAGTTTTAAATTTTCACTAGACAGTATATTTTAAAGTAATGCAAGCTTCAATTCGAAAGATAAAAATAGCTAAGTTGGGCACTTGTGTGCTAATTGAAAAGAGTACTGAGTGTTGCCAAAATGTGATTGTTTTCATACATTATAGGTAACTTAGTGGATAATGGGAATGGAGTGGGGCCTTCCGTTTCCAAGGTAAAAGTGTTACTTATAGACGACTTCATGATGTTGACAAATAATAATTGAAAGGGAATTATTAAAAGAAACCAAAATAATCACCACCCTCTTCGTGAGAGATGTGGGTGTCTCTATAAATACGGAGACCCCCTTAAACACCCCCCATCAAAGTAAGAGAGAGGGTGGGGAGGGAGTGTGTGTGTGTCAGAGAGAGAGAGAGAGAGAGAGAGAGAGATGGAAGTGATTGAAGTTCTACACATGAATGGAGGAATTGGAGATGCAAGTTATGCAAACAACTCATTAGTTTCAGGTATGCATGTCCATTCAATTCCATGTAATGTATCTGTGCTTCTTCCAGATCTAACGCAAAGTACACAACCGTTATTACCTGCAGAAGTTGAGATTGGTAACAGAAAAAAATAAACTTATTTTGCCTTATTATTAGGATCTAAATTATTTATATAATTCATTATAATTGTTAGATTAATACATTGTGCTTACTACATACTCCAGGCAAAGCACACAATTGTTTTTTTAGGGGTGTCAAAATATAACACGATACAGATTCGACATTAAATTAGAGGATTTGAAATTTTTCTTAAGTCGCTCATTTCGTAAATGAGTAGACCCTACGCGACACGATTAATAAAATGAATTAAGAACATGAGTATATAAATGAATCGGGTATAAATAAAATATTTTTTTGACACGAAATCACTCCACAAAGTGGTCTCAATTGACACGTTTATAGACCTAATTTTTTCATCCAGAATTTCACATTTGCAGGATATTATAGATATGGTCCATTGATTGGCGGTAGATTCCTACCAATTTGACGATAATATTTTATTAAATGTCCCTTTTGACAACTATGTCATTTTCCTCGTGTATTACTTTTGAAAAAGGAATAGGTCATTTTCACTTGTCAATCAGTTTTCTACATTCTCGGACTTAGTTATCAAACTCCAAAAAAGTCGTTTAATTAATACCACAGAAAATAATGGGGCTCTAAGAAATTATATGATATCCGAAAATATTTTGATACCTTATTAACAAATATTTAAGTAAATATAACAAATTGGGTCCCTCTATGAATTTCAAAATGGTAATAAACATACAAGAAAAATCCCTATAAATTTAAAGTTATTAACTAACTGGGTTGTATTGCTATCATTTAAAGCCACAACCTGCTATATAAAATTTTGGTAAATGATTTGATTAATATAACAATGCTTGTGAGATTGACATTTGATTTCGAAGATTAATTTTGTTAATTAAACTGTGTCTCGTGTACAGCAAAAGGTGTTATTATTACCGAGCCGATAACAAATAGAAGCCATTATTGATCTCTACTGCAGTACTTTCCCTAAATCCTTGTCCATTGCAGACTTGGGTTGTTCCTCTGGTCCAAACACTTTGCTAGTGGTCTCTGAGATCATCAAGCAAGTGCAGTTGAAAAACTATGCCGAAAAATGGGAAACCACTCACCAGAGTTTCAAATATTCTTAAATGACCTTCCCGGGAATGATTTTAACACGATTTTTCGGTCTTTGCCGAGGTTCCAAGGAAAAATGACAGAACAGATGGGATTCGGATATGGACCTTGTTTTTTCACTGGAGTCCCTGGTTCATTTTATGGTAGGCTTTTTGCTACAAAAAGTCTGCATTTCGTCCATTCTTCTTATAGTCTTCAATGGCTGTCCCAGGTAATTGAAAAAGAAAACATTTTACTTTGTGTTTTTTTCTCTACTTTTTAGCATATTTATTGTGTCAGGCATTTTAAGCCGATAGTCTAGTTCAAAGCGGATAATATTATCGTACAACAAGGATCACAACATTAAAAAAATAATATCAGTCACCGACTCTCGTGGTCTGGATGCCACATAGTCTGTGCATTGCTTGATGCATCCCGGTCCAACTAGGTCATTGGTGCAGCTAGCATAATAAGAGTTATCATCCAAAATCTAATGTCACCTTGGTTGGAGCGGGTCACAAATGAGTATGGTTGGACTTAAGGGTAGACTACAAATCTCAAATTAGATATTGTTCTAAAATTGTGCAAGTCTAACCCAAAATAAATAATATTATACGTGTGTCCGGATAAATATAATTGCAAGTTTCTTGATTTACTAGGTTCCTGAAGGGATAGAGAATAACAAAAGCAACATTTACATGGCAAGTACAAGCCCGCCAAGCGTGCTACAAGCATACTATGAGCAATTTCGAAGAGATTTCTCGTTGTTCCTAAAGTGTCGTTCGGAGGAACTAGTCACCGGAGGCCGAATGGTTCTAACTATTCTTGGGAGGAAAAGTGAAGATCCTTCTAGCAAAGAGTGTTGTTACATTTGGGAGCTTCTAGCTATGGCTCTCAATGAAATGGTTTCAGAGGTATACTAATCTTTCACTAAAAACCCAATTTGTTTTCCTTCTTTTTTTGATATAAAATGGGTTCAAATCCTCACAATTTTGAAGTTTATCAATTTTAGTGGAGTTTACTTATTCATTTATTATACAAATTATGTCTCCCTATTGTATTTTTATAGGTTTTATTGACATTCGATAAGATCCAATGAATTTAAACGGTGGATGGTTGACTCATCATGGTGAATAATTGAACTTGAGAGAAATTCAAAAAAAAAACTTGAAATTGGTTGTATGCAAATCCCAATCGGACTTGCATGAAATTAAATTACACCAATTTTGGGCCCAAAAGTTGCGAAACTTTTATGCAAAAACTTTTCACCGTTCAAAAGCTACAAAAAAATTGATAGGCATATGAAATGATCAAAAACAATTTTTTTTTCATCCAAAAATGGTTTTAATGATGAAAACTATCTAGTAAGCATAACATTGTCACAACCCAAGAGATTAAGGAAGTACACATTTCACACGTAGGGTAGGATGTTTTTGTCTTTCATTAAAAAAACATGGTTAGATCAAGATAACTAGACTATTTCAACTTGAGATGCATAAAGTCATGCACCTTTTACTTATGTTAACATCAATGCAGGGCCTTATAGAAGAGAAGAAACTAGATTCATTCAACATCCCCCAGTACACACCGTCTCCAGCAGAAATAAAATCAGAGGTCGAAATAGAAGGATCTTTTGGGATTGACCGTCTCGAGATTTCTAAAGTTCACTGGAATGCTTACGACAATGAATTTTGTCCTTCAAATGCCTTCAAGGATGGTGGATACAATGTTGCACAGTGCATGAGAGCTGTGGCTGAACCCTTGCTTCTCAGTCACTTTGGCGTAGCAATAATTGACGAGGTGTTCTGCAGGTACAGGAAGATTTTGGCTGATAAAATGTCCAAAGAGAGAACTGAGTTCATCAATGTCACTGTTGCAATGACTAAAAAGAAGTTGTGATCATCAAAATGGTTTGTTTGTATTATTGTTCAATCCATTTTGTAAGCTAAATTGTGTGGAAGTGAGTTTAATATTGGTTTCAATAAAAGTGATGAGTCTAATGCTTATGGGCTCGCACAAACGAAGTTGTTTTCTCTGTGTGTGACTTTCCAATGTACTTGAAAATAAATTATTAAGTGAATTATTGCTTGGTTATCTTGTTCCGTAAATCAACAAATTTTGAAGGGGTGGATTGGATATTGACCTAACTTTTAACATTACCCGCATAAATTTACTATCTTTATACTCCACAATATCATGATTGCTAATACACAGGCTTCACTTTGCATGCACCTGACAATATTAATCCCTTTGGATTGCCATGTTAACGTCAACTCATTCTAGTTTATTTGGTTTGTCTACATGGAATTGATCAGTACCCTTTTTTTGTGTGTGTGTGTGTGCATTCACACGTATTGGCATCATCATGTGATGGATAATTATAATAACCTTATATGCGGAAGTGATTTCGAGTTCGGAACTGAATTTTCTTTGACAGTTTGGCTGTTTAGTCAAGAAAAAAGGAAGGAAAAAATTGCACAGGGAAACAAAGGGAAAGTTCATTATCTTGTATAATTAGCTCATAATTGATAGAATCTGGTTTCATATATGATTGGTTTGGAATTTGGCTCGAAAATTTATCCTCGAGTTCAATAGTTGGTCCACCCATCGTGTAGGAACTCAAGTTAGTTTGTATGACATTCAGTGAGACTGCTCTCCTTTTCTCCTAACTATGTTCACTTTTGGGTTCCAATTATCCCTTCATGTGTGAACCACATTTTTCTTGATTATGTTATGGATCACTTCTCTCCACTTTTTTGTAAGTTTATTTGGATGGAACCCATGCCAACTCCATTTCACCCAAATTTTGATGTAGGTGTCACACTTGTTTGCTACCCAATTTTTCAAACACGTCTTTAGAATTTTTTGGGCTCAGATACTCTTGATAGAAGCTGAAACCATATACAATGAGACTCAAACTTGGTTCAAAAACTTTGGCTTAAGCTCGTATTTGTTCCAATTTTTATATCAACTCATTGTAGTTTATTTGGTTTTTCTATGTGGAACTCATTACCTTTTTCTTGTGTGTTTCACACGTGGGGTTTAAAAAGGCTTAAAGTTCTGGCCTCCCAGTATTGACTTCATCATAAGAAGGATAATTAAAACAAACATTATATGTGAAAGTGATTTGGGGTTCGTGGCTTACCTTCACGGATTCTTTATCCAATTGCACATCTGAAGATCTTGACATGAGTGTTTCACATGTTCCAATATTCCATCATTTGACGATAATGAACAACATGAACCAAAAACTTGGGGAAGGCGAGGCTGTTGGTTGTGGCTCAAATTTTTGTTTTGATCGGTTAGATGACATCATTGCTAAAAAAAATATATATTTAATTGGTTAAATGATGTCATTATTAAAAACTTATTGGAGTATAAGTGGAGCAATTTCTTGAATGAGATGAGGGTTCCATTGTAATTAGTTAGATGATATTATTACTAAAATCTTATTGGAGGATACAAGTGGAGCATTCAAATGTATTGATTAATTTTTATTCTTTTGTTGAGAGTAATAGATGTTTTCTTTATTGGGGGTTTGAGAGGGTAAGGTTGAGTGAGTTATACAAGGAGTTCAGAAATTGGGTTCAGGGGTGGCTCAACAACATTTGGGGTCTAAAACAATGATGGCCAATGAGATTTTCTTAATAATAGTTTAATTTTTTAATTTAAAATCCATTATTTTTTACTTTCTGATGAGATTTGAAATTACTAATTATTTTTTTATTCAAATTTTGCTAATATATTTTTTTGATCATAAATGTTTATAGGAATAAAATTAATTAATTTATTAATATTTTTTTGTTATTTTTATTTGTTCTTTATCGAAACTGTGGTATTAGATGATTGATTTTATTCTATATAAATTCATTGTTATTTTTCTTTAGAATTATTTTACTATCTTCGAATTTTACTTATTTATCTATGCAAGTTTCACCTAAACTTTGTTATATTTTATTTGTTATGAATAAGAGTTTTATCAAAACATTTTTTTAATGGGAATGAATGGTTTAATTGGTGTTTTGCGTTCAAGTGAAAACAAAAAAATTTAAGAGAAGTAGAGAATGTATTTGGTTTGATTTTTTTTTTAACTAAATAGAGATGTTTATTATACTTCTTTTGATTGAAAAAAGAGATGGAGAGCCAACACACTTCTTTCCTTACGTTGTAGAAATAACCAGACCTGTATGATCTCTAGCCACAGCTACATATGCACCTTGCTTCCTTGTTGCAGAGAATGCTCCATGACAATTAACCTTCACCCATCCAGGTGGTGGGTAGACCAGGTGGCGGCCACCCCCTGCTTACTTAGGTTTACAGCCCCATCCGCTTTAAGATGATGCAACTCTGTGAGTGCCATCTCTGCCTGTTTGACAACAGGCACACTATCCACAAGCTATGTATTTAATTAGGTTCGAAAATTAGTTCCTTCTAACATTGCTCATGATATATTACTGGGGCATAGTTGTTAACTCATCTCCTGCTAAATATTACTATACTGCCATATGGTAGGAGGTCAGATAGAATTATCAACACTTTTTTGTCTAGGGGATAAGTAGAGTGACAAATGATTTGGATTTGGTGCAGTTTCAACTTCTTCAAGTTTTGATTAAATTGCAAAACAAATTGAATTTAATTAAATTTAAGTTCATTTTTTAAGTGAGCCAAATCCAAGTAACTTGATTTGATCGGGTGGAATTGGTTTGAATATGCTCTTGCCTATGACAAAATTTAGTTTTATTGTCAAATTAATCCTATTTCGAGAAATGAAGTGACAAACAATTTACACCTTATCTATAATAGTTACAACTATATATACACTAATAATAATTTGTGTCTGAAAGAACAATGCAATATAAAATCTGACCTTTCAAAACATCGATTTTTATATGATATAACAATTTTTCTTAATTTCTTTCCTTTCTTGAATTACATAATTTGAAAATAATTTCTACCCATTATTTTTAAAAATAAATCGACAAGATTTTATCAATATGATCTAAAAAAATCAACATGTGTATAATATCATATATAAACAATAGAATAAAAATCATATAGAGTCACAAATTAACCCAAAGTTAGGGGTCCGTTTGCTAATGATTATGTTTCTAATTTTTCTATTTTTGTTTTCAATTTTTTAGAAAACTTGAAATTAAACTCGTTTGGTAATCTTTTTATTATTTTTTTTAAATAAAATTGTTTTGAAATTTGCCTAAGATTTAGGAAAGAAAAAAAATTGTTTCCAAAAAAAAAAGAAATAAAGGGAAACGGGTGGGGGGGGGGGGGGGGGGGGGCTCCTCCCATTTAATGAGATCCTACCATCGATCCTTGTTAGCAACAAAATAAGTCTTCATCGTTTGGATCTCTTTGTTCTCCCTGGTTCTCTTCGTCTCTCTGGTCCAGCAACTGTAATGATTGTCTCTCTCGTCCGGATGCTCTCTCTCTTTCTTTGTCTGTACGTCTGAAGCTCTCTCACCAAAGTAAGTCCTTTGTTTTATTCACATAAATCTAGTGTTTTCAGAGTTTTTTTTTCCTGTTTTTTGTTCATCTTTCGATCTCTCTCTCTCTCTCTCTACAGCTAAATTGTTGTATTAGATCGGTATGTTATTTCTGGTTTATTTCGATGTGTTATTATTTTTTATGTTAGAATTTTTGTGTATAGATCTGATTTTTATTTCCCTTTTTATTTTGGTTTTTTTGTGTTAGATCTAATTTTCTTTTTCTTTTTATTTTTGTGTTAGATATGATTTTCTTTGTCTTTTTTTGTGTGTTAGATATATCAACTACATCTAAATCTGATTTTTTTGGGTTAGATATGATTTTTTTTGGGTTAGATTTGATTTTTTTTTTTGGATTAGATATGCATTGAGTTGTGAAATTGCTGGTTTGAACGTTTTGAATTAGTTGGGAAAATGTGTTCTTCTTGCTAGCTTTGCATTAGGCTGTACATTCGGTTAGAAGTTGCAAATTGGGACATTTTGAATGAGAAACACAGCTTTGAGTAAAATCAAATATGCACTGCCTCACGTGATAATGGTGTTTTTTTTTCATGTTGTGAAATTGGAACAAGTGTATCATGTTTTTCATGAGAAACACAGCTTTGAGTAAAACCAAATATGCAATGCTAGGGTATGCAATACTAAATCTCAATAGAATGCACGTAGTTCAAGACCAATTATTTGATAAGTTTAGTAATGAAGATAGGGTGAATAATAATGCGGGATAGATTTCAGAGAACCAAATTGTGGTAATTATTTTTATCATTATTAATTGTTCCAAAAAAAATTATAATTTTTGTAGGTAATTTACCACTTTGGCAAGGGATTTAGTATGGGGGTAGCGGCCCCCACTGAAATTATAAAAAAATTTGGGACCAAGATGTAATTTTAAAATTTTCAAGAATTTTTTAAACTTGCCCCAATTGAAATTTTCTTAAAGTATATGATATATTAATATAATTTTCAAACCTAAAAGTCAATTTTGGCCTCCTCCTCATTTTTCATCGCCTGCTCTCCCCCGGGGGTAAGTCATCTTTGTCTTCTTCGCAGTCAGTCTAACTTCCAGTCCAGCCCTTGTCTTTCTTTTATTTAAGTTTCTTTATTAGTTTTTTTGGTGTATTCATCAACTAATCAGCCAATGAGAGGTAAATTAGCCAACAAATCAACCATTTTCTTTGTTAGTTCCTTTGGTGGATTCAATCATTGTGCAAATCAAATTTGAAAAATTTTTAGAAGATTATGTTAAAGCCAAGGAAAAAGGTAATCCATTAACCAAATTTTTTGATAGTAGTATTAGCACTAATCTAAAATCAGATTTTTTATATTAAAAAATTAGTTTAGTTCTCGTAAAATTGATGGTTGTTTGGTGTATTATTTATGGACTTGTGTAGGTTTTTTTTG